CAGGATAGCTGAGAGAGAGGGGGGGGGAGATGGATGTGTCTGTGGAGTTTCTGAGTCATCTAGCTCATAGTTGTCTCAAAGCTGGGGTGAGATTCAAATACGTGAATAACCGGTTCTCTGTATGGATGTCACTTCCGGAAGTCCATTCAGGGCCTGGGCAACAAAAAATTAGCTACCCAAGATTGTGGAAGACACAGACCAACTGTAGGGATGAGAATAGGATTTTTATCTGTCTGTCTATCTCTCTCTACTCTATCTCTATTTCTCTATCCCAAGAATGACATCTTTGTCCCAAAAAATGCAGTGCCAGGAAGAGCTAAAATTCTGCGGACAATCCTCAAACTCTCATGGTTCTGACTGAGGTAGACACAGGAATTGGATATGTCTAGTCTAATGAAGAGAAGGATGAGGAGTGACATGATAGCAGCGTTCCAGTATCTCAGGGGTTGCCCCAAAGAAGAGGGAGTCAAGCTATTCTCCAAAGCACAGGCAGGACAAGAAGCAACAGATGAAAACTGATCAAGGAGAGAAGCAACCTGGAAATAAAGAGTGCAGAGGAGAGAAACAAGGTTGATGAGGGGACTGGAGACTAAAACAACAACAACAACAACAATAATAATAATAAAGTTGGAAGGGACCTTGGAGGTCTTCTAGTCCAACCCCTTGCTCAAGCAGGAGAACCTATACCATCTCAGACAGGTGAATGTCCAATCTTTTCTTAAAAATCTCCAGTATGGAGCGCCCACGATTTCTGGTGGCAAGCTGTTCCACTGGTTGATTGTCCTCACTGTCAGGAAGTTTCTCCTTAATTCCAGGTTGCTTCTCTCCTTGATCAGTTTCCAACCATTGTTTCTCTTTGGAGAATAGCTTGACTCCCTCTTCTTTGCGGGCGCCCCTGAGATATTGGAACACGGCTGTCATGTCACTCTTCGTCCTTCTCTTCATTAAACTAGACATCCCCAATTCCAGCGACCATTCCTTGTTTGTTTTACCCCCCCAGTCCCCGGGTGATCTTTCTTGCTCTTCTCTGTACTCTTTCTAGTGTCTCAATGTCAGGAACAGTTGCAGGAATTGGGAATGTCTAGTCTAACAAAGACAAGGATTAAGGAGGACATAATAGTAGCAGTCTTCCATTATTTGAAGGGCTGTCACAGAGAAAAGAAGCTTCTTGGAGAAGAAGCGAAAACATCTTCAAAGAAAACCAAGAAAGTCCAGTTACCTCTTGAAAAAGCACCTTTGGGACAGCCAAGACTGGGATGACTGAGAATCTCCATAAACAAATGCATCGGCATAGGTTACGTGGTACCTGGCTCAACAGTAGTAATTCTAAGAAGGCTCTTGGATCCTAGTGGGACAATCTGTAAGGACCCACCCCACTTTGCAACTTAAGAAGACAGAACTCTTGGAATAGTTCTTCCAACAGGCATCCTTTATTAAGAGAAAATGGTTGCAGGCGTTCTAGACAAGACTTGGGGTCCAAGCTCTCCCATTCAAGGTTTTAAGGGGGTCCCCAGTAGCCCCACCCAATCACCCCCTTCTTCCAGCGACAGTCTCAGGCATTACACTCCCACCCCCTTTTCCTTACTGCTGGCTGGATGGAGACTTCAGAGAGAACTACATGAAAGGTAATAGCCCCCTTTGTTATGGTTAGTCCTTTTGGTGCTATCCATATCCAGTCCCTTTGAAGTGTACTGAAGGAAGTGAGAGCCATAAAGCCCCTTTGTTCACCCCCCTTCCCTTCATCGTATGACAGAATCCAGAGAAGGCAGAAATGGGGTTTTCTATAGTTGATAACTAGAGATGAAATATAATTGGATTCTGACACAATCACTGAAACATGAGCCAGCCACATGCTGCAGCTGCCAAAAATGCCAGTGCATTAACAGAGGGACAGAATCAATATCACGCAAACAATTAATACCATTTTATAAGGCCTTGGTAAGGCCACACTTCCAGATCCTGAAGTCGAAACTCAAATACTTTGGCCACCTAATGAGAAGGAAGGACTCACTGGAGAAGAGCCTGATGCTGGGAAAGATTGAGGGCAATAGAAGAAGGGGATGATAGAGAATGAGGTGGCTGGATAGAGTCACTGAAGCAGGAGGCGTGAGCTTCAATGGACTCCAGAAGATGGTAGAGGACAGGAAGACCTGGAGGAACGTTGTCCATGGGGTTGCGATGGGTCGGACACGACTTTGCAATTAACAACAACAACAACAAAGGCCATACTTGGAATACAGCATCCAGTTTTACTCACCACTGCATTAAACAGAGGGATAGAATCAAGATCACACGAAGTGTTAGTACCAGTTTATAATGCCTTGGTAAGGCCACACTTGGAATATTGCATCCAGTAAAGGTTGCCAGGATATAAATAAAGATATTGAAACTCTAGAAAGAGTGCAGAGAAGAACAGTTGATTAGGAAGGCTAAAACACTGAAGAACGGTTGTAGGAATTGGGAATGTCTAGTTTAACGAAAAGGACGAGGGGGGACAGGATAGCAGTCTTCCAATATTTGAGGAGCTACCATAAAGAAGAGGGAGTCAAGCTATTCTCCAAAGCCCCTGAAGGCAGGACAAGAAGCAACGGATGGAAACCAATCAAGGAGAGAAGCAACCTAGAACTAAGGAGAAACTTCCTGACAGTGAGGACAATTAACCAGTGGAACAACCTGCCTCCAGAAGCGGTGAATGCTCCATCACTGGAAGTTTTTAAGAAGAGACTGGACAGCCATTTGTCCGAAATGGTATAGGGTTTCCTGCCTGAGCAGGGGGTTGGACTAGATGACCTCCAAGGTCCCTTCCAACTCTGTTAGTCTGTTAGTCTGTAATTTTGAAGGGAAGATTATGCTTCTCCTACTTGATCTCCTGTTTACACCTCTCTCACCTTTTCCCAGATTTTAAGTGCACCTCTGTTTTACGATGATCAATTCTCATTCCAGTTCTGCCAGTCACTACATTGCCAAGCGGTGGTGGTGAATCGGTTCCATTGCCCGAGCAAAATGACTAGAGACCTCATTGACAAGGGACAGTGCAGTGTACTTGCAACGGCCCAGAGTAACAACAGAATAAAATATTTGTCTCTCAGGGTTGAACTGCAGGGTCCTTGGTGCTCTCTGAGTTTGGCGGTTTTGTTGAGGACGTTTCATGATCCAACTAGGCAACATCTTCAATGCCAGGAGGGGGTGGTGCTGACTCTCTCGGTGTGTGTGGGAGTGTTCTTGGTGGTTCCTTGATTGAACTTGATTACTGTTGATTATTGATTAAGCAATAGATATCAGCCTAATCAAGGAACAATGAACAATAAACAGAGATCAAATCCCCAGTCCCTTCCAGCACTGATGATGTTAGCTAGTTGTGTAATGAAATGCCTGCAAGAAAACTGTCAAGCTCAGAGAGCACCAAGGACTTCTTGACCTGCCTCCAGGTGCTTTGCAGAATAGGTTGACTCCCTCTTCTTTGGGGCAGTCCCTGAGACACTGGAATGCTGCTATCATGTCATCCCTCGTCCTTCTCTTCATTAGACTAGACATTGCCAATTTCTAGGAGAGATCTGTATCTACCTCAGTCAGAGCCATGAGAGTTTGAGGATTGTCCGCAGGATTTTTGCTATTCCTGGCACTGCATTTTTGGGGGGACAAAGTCAAAGATAAAAATCCTATTCTCACCCTTATGGTTGGAGAAATTTCCTGACAGTGAGGACAATTAATCAGTGGAACTCCTTGCCTCCAGAAGCTGTGAATGCTCCAACACTTGAAGCTTTGAAGAAGAGACTGGACAACCATTTGTCTGAAATGCCATAGGGCAGTGGTTCTCAACCTGTGGATCGGGACCCCATTTGGGGTCGAACGACCATTTCACGGGGGTCGCCAAACAACGCAGTCCGCCATTTTTTCCCCCTTTTCCTTAGCTGTGCTACTCCCTTTTATTCTATTGGCTTTTGAAAGCCAATAGAATAGACTCTCTTGAATAGAGTCTAATTCTATTGGCTTTCAAAAGCCAATAGGAATTGTCCAGGCTGTCTCTGCCCTGCTGAGCCCGCCAAAAGTCCCATTCTGCAAACGGTGCTGCACCAGTTGAGTAGTCCTCGACTTACAACTGGTTGGGGGTCGCGGCATTAAAAAGGTTGAGAACCACTGCCATAGGGTTTCCTGCCTGAGCAGGGGGTTGGACTAGATGACCTCCAAGGTCCCTTCCAACTCTATTATCCTATGTTATCTATGTTCTATGAGTGAGAAGAAGTTGAGAAGTTCTCTGTTTTCTTGATTACAATTCCCAGCATTCAAAGTGCCTTAAAGTCTCCAGATCTTCAATGTTTGATGCAGCTTTAGAAGATGGGAGAATTCTGGAAAGCAAGTAGGCTTTCCATGAGTGTTTTATCTGGAATATCTTTCCATCTTCTAGATCAAGGAACTTGCAGACTGGGAGATCAAACGGTGACGTGTTGCAAGTCCCTTAGAGTTACTTCAACTTGGGCTATGGCCGCAATACATTCCATCTGGATGGAGAAATGGTCAAATGCTTCCTCGTAATCCAATCAGTCCAAACTAATGTACAGTTTGGTAATTGAAGTTGCCAACACATCTTTCCCTTTGTGTCCTAATGTAACTCCTAAGCACCAAGCCTGGTAAAGAATTCTTTCCTTTGGGAAAAAAATGCTCCCTCTACCCAGATGTCTCCTAACTGGAGGTTTTCCAGAAGAGACTGGACAGCCACTGCTCCAGGATGCTATAGGGTCTTCTACCATGGACCCAGGGGTTGGACTAGAAGACCTCCAATGTCCCTTCCATTCCTATGGTTCGATGTTCTTCTGGTGTGCCTTGTGATCTTCTCTGTGAACTTTGCCAACTTTAGCTCTGAAACGTCTTCACAAAAGAAGAACCTTGGAAGTATATCTCATTTTTCTTTCCAATGCTGCTACAAATGCAATAGAAGGCCATCTCGTATTTCTTCTTCCTAATCAGAAAAGGAGCGATTGATTTAAATAAAAAGTTCTTACCGAACTCCGCAAACAAAACAGCTGTCAGCAGAACGGTCACCACCACCACCCTGCCTCTCGTACGGGTCTTCACCATCTTAGATTCCAGTTTGCTGCCCACCGATCTTCAGGCTGTACAGTCCCAATCCTTTGTTCTTCTCCCTTGCAAATGAATTCCCCTTGTGATACACAAATACTGTGCAGTGGGGGAAAAAGTTGTTTTTCAGTCTGGAAGGATTAGATGATCCAAAACCAAACAGACACACCTTCTCTCTTTGTTCCCTAGTCACTCTTGTGCAAAAAACATTGGTTAAGATTTCTACACTGTTCACAAATGATCCGTTCTTTCTGTCCTCATCAACCTCATCATGTATTGCTATTTACCCAATGAATTATCTGATCATGTTTTGCAATTTTGACTATTCGATATTTCTCAAGGATCTTCTAAGGAAATTAAAGATGTTATCGTAATATACAATACAATGTTTTGTAGTTGATGAGTTGAGATTCTATCTGTTCCTGTTGGCTCCTGGTACTTTTCAGAGCTTTTGAGATGGCACCAAGTGTAGTAACCTTTAGTAGATTTACTACAACTGTCTTTCAATGTATCTGTTCCTGTTGGGTCCTGGTACTTTTCAGAGCTTTTGAGATGGCACCAAGTGTAGTAACCTCTAATAGATTTACTACAACAGTCTTTCAATGTATCTGTTCCTGTTGGGTCCTGGTACGCTTCAGAGCTTTTGAGATGGCACCAAGTGTAGTAACTTCTAGTAGATTTACTACAACTGTCTTTCAATGTATCTGTTCCTGTTGATTTCTGGTAGTTTTCAGAGTTTTTGAGATGGCACCAAGTGTAGTAACCTCTGGTAGATTTACTACAACTGTCTTTCAACATATCTGTTCCTGTTGATTTCTGGTAGTTTTCAGAGTTTTTGAGATGGCACCAAGTGTAGTAACCTCTGGTAGATTTACTACAACTGTCTTTCAATGTATCTGTTCCTGTTGTGTCCTGGTACATTTCAGAGTTTTTGAGATGGCACCAAGTGTAGTAACCTCTGGTAGATTTGCTACAACTGTCTTCCAATGTATCTGTTCCTGTTGGGTCCTGGTACGCTTCAGAGCTTTTGAGATGGCACCAAGTGTAGTAACTTCTAGTAGATTTACTACAACTGTCTTTCAATGTATCTGTTCCTGTTGTGTCCTGGTAGTTTTCAGAGTTTTTGAGATGGCACCAAGTGTAGTAACCTCTGGTAGATTTCTACAACTGTCTTCAATGTATCTGTTCCTGTTGTGTCCTGGTACTTTTCAGAGTTTTTGATGGCACCAGTGTAGTAACTTCTAGTAGATTTACTACAACTGTCTTTCAATGTATCTGTTCCTGTTGATTTCTGGTAGTTTTCAGAGTTTTTGAGATGGCACCAAGTGTAGTAACCTCTGGTAGATTTACTACAACTGTCTTTCAACATATCTGTTCCTGTTGTGTCCTGGTACATTTCAGAGTTTTTGAGATGGCACCAAGTGTAGTAACCTCTGGTAGATTTACTACAACTGTCTTTCAACATATCTGTTCCTGTTGATTTCTGGTAGTTTTCAGAGTTTTTGAGATGGCACCAAGTGTAGTAACCTCTGGTAGATTTACTACAACTGTCTTTCAATGTATCTGTTCCTGTTGGGTCCTGGTACATTTCAGAGTTTTTGAGATGGCACCAAGTGTAGTAACCTCTGGTAGATTTGCTACAACTGTCTTCCAATGTATCTGTTCCTGTTGGGTCCTGGTACGCTTCAGAGCTTTTGAGATGGCACCAAGTGTAGTAACTTCTAGTAGATTTACTACAACTGTCTTTCAATGTATCTGTTCCTGTTGTGTCCTGGTAGTTTTCAGAGTTTTTGAGATGGCACCAAGTGTAGTAACCTCTGGTAGATTTGCTACAACTGTCTTTCAATGTATCTGTTCCTGTTGTGTCCTGGTACTTTTCAGAGTTTTTGAGATGGCACCAAGTGTAGTAACTTCTAGTAGATTTACTACAACTGTCTTTCAATGTATCTGTTCCTGTTGATTTCTGGTAGTTTTCAGAGTTTTTGAGATGGCACCAAGTGTAGTAACCTCTGGTAGATTTACTACAACTGTCTTTCAACATATCTGTTCCTGTTGTGTCCTGGTACATTTCAGAGTTTTTGAGATGGCACCAAGTGTAGTAACCTCTGATAGATTTGCTACAACTGTCTTTCAACATATCTGTTCCTGTTGTGTCCTGGTAGTTTTCAGAGTTTTTGAGATGGTACCAAGTGTAGTAACCTCTGGTAGATTTACTACAACTGTCTTCCAATGTATCTGTTCCTGTTGGGTCCTGGTACATTTCAGAGTTTTTGAGATGGCACCAAGTGTAGTAACCTCTGGTAGATTTGCTACAACTGTCTTCCAATGTTTCGTCCATTTTATTTGAAGGTGTGTTTCTCCAACAGTTTTTTTCCTTATTTTTTTCTCATTTAATTCTTCTATCTCCAGCTACTATGGTGTTAATTATCCACACTTGCTTCTTTGTAACTACAATCATATATGGTTTATTAATGTTTATTGACTGTTTATCAATCTGCACCTGGAAATCCCTTTGGGATCGTGTAAAAAAAAGGTTCAATCAATCAATTTCAACTTCTCGCAAAGTTGGATTTGATTGACTGAACTTTTTAGTCCCACCCAGTCTGCCGTTACCACTGAAGCCACGCCCACCCAATGGGCCATGCAATTTGGGCACTCGGTCTCTAGAAGGTTTGCCATCACTACCCTATACTATACCTGTACATTTGTTTTTTCTTGCCTAAGTATAGAACCTTACTTTTTTCACCCTTGAATTTCATTTTGTTACATAGCGCCCAGTGTCCAAGTCTGTCCAGATCCTTCTGTATCTTAAGCCTGTCTTCTGGAGTGTTGGCTACTCCTGCCAGCTTGGTGTCGCCTGCAAATTTGATGAGTTCCCCATCTATCCCCTCATCCAAATCATTGATGAAGATGTTGAAGAGCACTGGGCCCAGGACAGAGCCCTGGGGCACCCCACTACACACCCTTTGGTTCTTGATCACTTTTTCCATATTGTGATTCTACCAATTCTCCACTGCTGGTAAGTTATAATTCTAAAATTCCAGTCCAACGGCCACTGTGTTGTGTCTTTCCAAATATACCATTTGGTCAATCATTTTACATTGCTATCTTCTTAAAGTATTATTTTTAATCACTAGATAGATAGATGACAAATGGGACTTTTCCAAAGCGCCTGAAGGCAGGACAAGAAGCAGTGGGTGGAAACTAGCCAAAGAGAGAAGCAACCTGGAACTAAGGAGAAACTTCCTGACAGTTAAAACAATTAATCAGTGGAACAACTTGCCTCCAGAAGCAGTGAATCTCCAACACTGGAAGTTTTTAAGAAGAAAGTGGACAGCCATATGTCCAAAATGGTATATGTTTTCCTGCCTGAGCAGGGGGTTGGACTAGATGACCTCCAAGGTCCCTTCCAACTTTATCATTATTATTATCTATCTATCTATCTATCTATCTATCTATCTATCTATCTATCTATCTATCTACATTTTTAATTGTACCCATTGTACATTTTAACACACACACTCACATATAGCAAAGTATATAAAATACATGTATGTGTGTGTTCGTATGCGTCTATCTATCTATCTATCTATCTATCTATCTATCTATCTATCTATCTCATTGTGCCCATTTACACTTTAATACACACACAAATATATAGTATTTTTGTTTGTTTGTTTTATGTGTGTGTTTATCTATCTAATTGTATCTATTGTACACTTTAATACACACACACACACATATACATTAAAGTTCACAATGGATACAATTCACACACACACATATCTTAACAAGCTCTCTCTCTCTCTCTCTCTCTCTTTCTCTCTCTCTCTCTCTTTCTCCCTCCCTCCTTCTTCTCTCTCTCTCTTTCTCTCTCTCTCTGTTTCCCCCTAAGCAAATAAATGGTTGATATATTGCATGCATTCAGCTGGAGTGATTCAGAAGGAATTGCTCAAACAAACCAATCCAGGTATGTCTTATGCTTTGATTCTTCAACTCAAACCACAAGGCATTGCAACCTCAGGTGTGGAGGCCGATTTGCTCAGAGAACTTTCAAAATTCTCGTTGCATGAAGATGTTCTAGCACTTTGCTCCAGGGTAAGTTTTGAGTTTGGGCCAGAATACAAGATGTGGACATAAACATGATCAAACCTCATTTATAAGCCCAAGAAGGCAGCTAGTCACAGTTGGTATCAAACTACCTGATGGCAAACTTTAGTAAGTAGGTAGACCTAGGTGAAACACAACATTAAAAAAAAAAAAAACTAAGATTCTGTCCCCAAGGTAATTTTCAGGAGGCAACTGGACTCCTTTCTTTTTCTTTCAAGAAGTTCAAAGCTGAAGAGCCGAAGAAGCTTCTTGGATGAGAAACGAGGTGTCTTCAAAGAAAAACAAGGAAATCCAGTGACCTCCTGAAAAAGCACTTTTGGGACAACCGAGACCTGGATGACTGAGAATCTCCATAGATATTTAGCTATGCATTTTGGGATGGATGGACCCCTTTTAAATGGTGCGGAAGGATGAACGGATCTCCAGAAAGTATTGCAGGCTACAGGAACCATTTGTGCTTCAGTTTGAGATGCAGACAACACATTGGCGCTTGTCTTCAACCATGAAGGGCCCCAAGGCAGAAAACATTCTGCAGCCAGGAAGGCTCCACACCCATGTAATAATTACTAGGAACTGCTTCCATCCTGCGACGATATCTGTAATAACATCAAACATCCACGTCTGCCTATCCCAGGTCCTGGGTAAGGACTCGATAGGTAGACAAAATGCCAAATCCAGTCTGAACATCTGGCTGACTGTGCGATGATCAATAATAATAATAATAATAATAATAATAATAATAATAATAGTAGTAGTAGTAGTAGTAGTAGTAGTAGTAGTAATGAAACTCAAATACTTTGGCCACCTAATGAGAAGGAAGGACTCACTGGAGAAGGGCCTAATGCTGGGAAAGATGAGGGCAATAGAAGAAGGGGACGACAGAGAATGAGATGGCTGGATGGAGTCACTGAAGCAGTAGGTGTGAACTTAAATGGACTCCAGAAGATGGTAGAGGACAGGAAGACCTGGAGGAACGTTGTCCATGGGGTCGCGATGGGTCGGACACGACTTTGCAATTAACAACAACAACAATAGTAGTAGTAGTAAAGTTGGAAGGGACCTTGGAGGTCATCTAGTCCAACCCCCTGCTCAGGCAGGAAACCCTACACCATTTCGGACAAATGGCTGTCCAGTCTCTTCTTAAAAACTTCCAGTGTTGAAGCATTTACCACTTCTGGAGGCAGGTTGTTCCATTGGTTAATTGTTGTGTCAGGAAATTCCTCCTTAGTTCCAGGTTGTTTCTCTCCTTGGTTAGTTTCCATCCGTTGCTTCTTGCCCTGCCTTCAGGTGCTTTGGAGAATAGCTTGATTCCCTCTTCTTTATGGCAGCCCCTGAGATATGTATAATAAACTAAATAAATAATATGTACAATAAACTAACTAAATAAAATTCCCTAGGATACTGTAGATTCATGCCTGATCTCCACGTTATTTCCTCTTTTTCCCCTTCCAGGGTTTCCCTCAGTGCGAGGGACTATTTAAATACAGATTATTTTTCTGACTCTACCAAGTGCCATGGACGTGACTGACGGTCCAGTGGAACCGAATCAATCAAAAGAGCTATTTTTTTTTGTCTTCTCCAACTGGGTCTTCTTCAGCAAGGAAAAAAAGCAACAAGATGACCAGTTCTTGCCCCTCAAAGGGCCTCTCCTGTTCTTCAAACAATAAGACAAGGAATCTTAGTTGAGCAATAGACAACTTGGTTACTGGAGAAGCCAGCTCAGATTCTCTTAGCAAGAAAAGAGAGGACAACCTGGCCCCTTTGCGGTCAGTTGATGAAAACAATAAAGAAGGATCTAATTTCCAAACAGTTTGAATGAATCATCTGAGACCATTCCAGACAAACCACCTTCTTCTAAACAAAGGTCTCTCTGATGGTTCATTAAACCTGAAAAGCCAAGACTTCATGTGTGTTACAAAAGTTTTTTTTCACTTCTCTGAGATTATCCCATCATCCTTTGACCAGTTTGAGCCTACTTCAACTTTTCCGGCCAACAGCCCAGAGGAGCCTTGGAAAGATCTCCTTGGATATGCCAGCTAGGGAAGATGGGAATTGTGGTCCAAATGCCCCTGGAAGGAGAGAAACTTTTGGACATGTTGGCTAGGGAAGATGGAAATTGTGGTCCAAATGCCCCTGGAGAAAGCTTTGGACATGTTGGCTAAGGAAGATGGGAATTGGGATCGAAACACCCCAGGAAGGAGAGAAATCTTTGGACATGTTGGCTAGAGAAGATGGGAATTGTGGTCCAAATGCCCCTGGAGAAAGCTTTGGACATGTTGGCTAAGGAAGATGGGAATTGGGATCGAAACACCCCAGGAAGGAGAGAAATCTTTGGACATGTTGGCGAAGAAAGATGGGAATTGGCATCCAAATGCCCCTGGAAGGAGAGAACTCTTTGGACATGTTGGCTAGAGAAGATGGGAATTGTGGTCCAAATGCCCCTGGAGAAAGCTTTGGACATGTTGGCTAAGGAAGATGGGGGCTCGAAAACCCAAGGAGAGAAATCTTTGGACATGTTGGCTAGGGAAGATGGAAATTGTGGCCCAAATACTAGTGGAAGGAGAGAAACCTTTGGACATGTTGGCAAAAGAAGATGGGAATTGGGATCCAAATACCCCAGGAAAGAGAGAAACCTTTAGACATGCTGATTAGGAAAGATGGAGGTTGTGGTCCAAATGCCCCTGAAAGTTCAGGAAGACTGGATTAGCCCTCAACTGTATTCTTAAACAGCCCTACTTTTGCCCCACACAGATCCCAACTAGACATGACACTCACAAAGCTGGCTGGTGTGGCAGTACTGAATGTCAGGAGGTGCCATTTCATAACAAAAAGTCAATAAGTTCCAACTAGATACTGAATCCACAACCTAAGCCTAACCCGTGTAATGTATACCTCTGTGACTCTGTAACCTCAATAAAATTTGTCATGATTATTTCAGAATAAAGAAGGATACTTGTACTTCCGCAGGTCAAAATATTGTTGAAAGGTGTAGAGGCTTTGAGGAAGACTAAACAAGAATAGATGTTTACTACAAAGCACCTGAAGGCAGGACAGGAAGCAACAGATGGAAACTAATGGAGAGAACCAACCTAGAACTAAGGAGAAGTTTCTGGACAGTGAGAACAATCAGTGGAACAGCTTGCCTCCAGAAGTTGCGGGTGCTCCAGCATTGGAGGTTCCAACAAAAGATTGGACAATCATTTGTCTGAAATGGTATGGCGTTTCCTGCTTAAGCAGGAGGTTGGACTAGAAGACCTCCAAGGTCCCTTCCAACTCTTATTCAGTTATTCTATTAATATAAATTGAGTTCTCCCTTTGATGGGTCCTTTTTAGGAGAACATCTCACTTATCCTGAGTGAACTCCTAATTTTCTTCTAGATTCTTTCCAGCTAGACCTTATTCCTCAAGAATAAATCACTACCTTAGTATATTTCTTATGATAGGACCCATATTTATCTGCTAACAAATTGCTATGCTATTCTTGTAGGGAGGCTTCACCGTTTCAGGAAGCAAAATTACTCCTGCCAACCATTGTTTTCTTAACATCCCTTCTTTTTCTCCTTCCATTCAACCATTTCTGATTCTTAGAGTCAAATCCCTGCAATTTCCTTGGCAAGGCTTTTCAGAGGTAGTTTGCCATTGCCTCCTTCTCGGGGCTGAGAGAAAGTGACTAGCTCAAGGATATCCGGCTGGCTTTGAGCATAAGGCAGGACTAGAACTCACCATCTCCTGGTGATTGCCCCAAAGTCACCCACCATCTCCAGCTGGCTTTCATGCTTAAGGCAGGACTTGAACTATAATAATAATAATAATGATGATGATAATAATAATAATAATAATAGTAGTAGTAGTAAAGTTGGAAGGGACCTTGGAGGTCATCTAGTCCAACCCCCTGATCAGGCAGGAAACCCTACACCATTTCGGACAAATGACTGTCCAGTCTCTTCTTAAAAACTTCCAGTGTTGGAGCATTTACTACTTCTGGAGGCAGGTTATTCCACTGATTAATTGTTCTCACTGTCAGGAAGTTTCTCCGTAGTTCTAGGTTGCTTCTCTCCTTGATTAGTTTCCACCCGTTGCTTCTTGTCCTGCCTTCAGGTGCTTTGGAAAATAGCTTGATTCCCTCTTCTTTGGGGCAGCCCCTGATATATTGGCAGACTGCTATCATGTCCCCCCTTGTCCTTCTCTTAGTTAAACTAGACATACCCAAATTCTAGCAACCGTTCCTTATATGTTTTAGCCTCCAGTGTCTCTTGGTGATTGGCTGAAAAAAAAATCACACAGCTGGTTTTCATGCCTAAGGCAGGGCTAGAACTCTCAGGGGGTTGGACTAGATGACCTCCAAGGTCCCTACCAGCCCCTGTATTCTATGATTCTATTGTGGTCCACAATCCTCCGTGCCGTGAAATTCTCAATCCCCTTTTTAATTATGAAGGCACAACTGTGACTTCTGTTCCAGCCTGGCTTTTCCTGAGAAAATTATCTATGGACGTTGCCGATGGGGCCTGCCTGTCCATCACACCTCATTTCCACTTTGTCAGCTTTCAGAAAACCACACGAAAATGAGATGGTTACCCGCATCAAATTCCTGGGTGTGCAGCTAACGAACAGGCTGACTTGGTCACTCAACAGTGAGAAATTGGCGAAGCGGGCACAGCAGCGCCTGCATTTTCTGCATCACACGAGAAAAGCACAGCTTTCTTCCCCTGTCCTGACCACCTTCTACAGGGGGACGATTGAGAACATCCTGTCCTATAGCATCACAGTCTGGTTTGGAGGCATCCCTGCTTCAGACAGGAAGGCGGTGCAAAGAGTGGTGAGGACAGCTGGAAAGATCATTGGCAGCTCCCTCCCTCCCATCCAGGACATAGCACAGAAGCGTTGCTTGAGCAGGGTCCGCAAGATTGTCTGGGACATGACACATCCTCTTCACGACCTGTTTTCCTTGTTCTCTTCTGGGAGGAGGGGGCTTCGTGGTATCCGTAGCAGAACATCCAGATTCAGCCATAGTTTCCTTCCATACAACATTAATCTTGTGAACTCTCAAGCTTCCTCTTTCCGTTATATATTCAAGATGGACAGTATTTAATATTTATTTGCTACGTATATATAGGGGTGAAGGTCTATACATATGTTTAAGTGTGTGTCATGTATGTGTTTCACTCTGAGAGCAGGCAACTAAATTTCATTTTTGATGTGAGCCGTTGTGCCCACAGTAAAATAATGACAATAAAGGTTATCTTATCTAAATAAAGAAATAAGTGTTTATTTTCAGGAAATGGGTTATCTCCTCATGGGTCCATCAGCAACAACAGGACAGAGGTTTTGGCAGAAATGCCAAAGACCCACATTTAATTTTATATTTCATGTGGACGTTTTTTTAGTGTTTGCGTTGGTTCGACTGGGCTTTTTATTGTTTTAAAGTGTTTTTAATATTTCTAACCATAATATATATATATATTAAAAAAAACTATAAGCCTCGCAGAATCCTTGACTGAGAATGGACGACTGTAGAAACTGAATGAGTGAGAGCAGGAATGAATAAACAAACAAACAAATAAACGGGGAAGTAGTCTGTGCCCCCATCAGAGTTCCAGATCAATCAAGGCTCCGAAAACAAGGGTTACTGCTAACACAGACTTGGAGCACCTTACGACCGTCATACGGTTGCACCTGTCCTCCTGACAGCAGGTTAAGGTATACAGCGATGGCCAGCTGTTTTTCATGATGGGACAGTGGACTGCACAACCTTTTTGAAGCAGGAATCCAGACAAAGAAGTCGCTAAACAGGAAAGGAAACACACAACAGGTTAAACGAGGCGCCCCTCTGCTTTTTCCTTGAGGCCGGAGTTACAGTTAGTCAACTATTCCCCCACCCAGTGGGGCAGTGATGTCATCTCCCATTATCCCACAGAAGGGAAACACCTGAATGTGCTGTGTGTGTGTGTGTGTGTGTGTGTGTGTGTGTGTGTGTGTGTTAAGAGAGGTGAAAAGGTCCCTCCTGTGTCTGTATGGGGGGGCCTTCATGCTGCTCTCCTATAACTGGTGCACTAGAAGAGAATCTTGGGGTCCATGGTGCTCTCCAAGATTGAGGAGGAGGAGGTGGTGGAGGAGGAGGAGGAGGAGGAGGAGGAGGAGGAGTAGTAAAACTGTAGGGGCCTTGGTGTTCTCTGAACCTGGTTGCTTTCTTACAGACATTTCATTACCAAACTAGGTAACATCATCCGTGCTAGAAGGGAGTGGGGTTTGTGGAGGAGGAGGAGGAGGAGGAGGAGGAGGAGGAGGAGGAGGAGGAGGAGGAGGAGGAGGAGGAGGAGGAGGAAAACTATGGGGTCCTTGGTGTTCTCTGAACCTGGTTGCTTTCTTGCAGACATTTCATTACCAAACTAGGTAACATCATCCAGGCTAGAAGGGAGTGGGGTTTGTGGAGAGGAGGAGGAGGAGGAGGAGGAGGAGGAGGAGGAGGAGGAGGAGGAGGAGGAGGAGGAGGAGGAAAACTGTAGGGGCCTTGGTGTTCTCTGAACCTGGTTGCTTTCTTGCAGACATTTCATTATCAAACTAGGTAACATCATCAGTGCTAGAAGGGAGTGGGGCTTGTGGAGAAGAGGAGGAGGAGGAGGAGGACTAACTGCACACACGTACAGACAGGCCTTTGGTCGTGCGTGCTGCATGCTTACCTGTATACCTTGTGCAGAAATGCTCATGGTGAGAACAGTTCTTAATTTTTGTACACCCAGAGTAGGTTGTCTGATTGCAAGCGTAGCATTCCAGCGAAGGAACTGCGTAGGAAAATGGAATGGGGTTGGCATGAGTTCGGGATCCTGAAACCGAAAGTCTTAGGAGGGAAGTGGTGAGCAGACAGTTAAAGGTCTTTCCTTTAGTACAGTTACTTTTTAAACTTCCAGGTAATACTGAAATGACTTATGATTGGTCCTTGCACTTACAACGGTCTCTGTTTTATCCTCCTCCTCCTGGTCTTTGCAAGCCCTGCTCCCTCCTAGCACTGATGATGTTACCTAGTTGGGTAATGAAACACAGTCCGCCTCCTCCTCCCCCTCCTCTTCTCCACAAACCCCACTCCCTTCTAGCACTGATAGTGTTAAATAGTTGGTAATGAAACGTCTGCAAGAAAACCACCCAGCTCAGAGAGCACCAAGGATTCTACAGTCCTCCTCCTGCTCCTCTCCCCACACCTCACTCCCTTCTAGCACTGATGATGTTACCTAGTTGGGTAATGAAACATCTGCACAAAAACAACCAAGCTCAGAGAGCACCAAGGACCCATCCTTCTCCTTCTCCTCCTCCTCCTCCTCCTTCTCCTCCTCTCCCTCTTCCTCTTCCTCCTCCTCCTCCTCCTCTCTGGAATCTCAACTTCTTTCTAGCACTGATGATATTACCTATTTGGGTCATGAAAGGTCTGAAAGAAAACCACCAAGCTCAGAGAGCACCAAGAACCCCATAGCCCTCTCCTCCTCCTCCTCCTCCTCCTCCTCCTCCTCCTCCTCCTCCTCCTCCTCCTCCTCCTCCTCCTCCTCCTCCTCTTCCTGCTGCTCCTCTCTGGAAACTCAACTTCTTTCTAGCACTGATGATATTACCTAGTTGGGTCATGAAACGTCTGCAGGAAAACCACCAAGCTCAGAGAGCACCAAGGACCCCATAGCCCTCCTCCTCCTCCTCCTCCTCCTCCTCCTCCTCCTCCACCACCACCACCACCTCTTCCTCCTTCTCCTCCTCCTCCTCCTCCTCCTTCTTCTCCCTGCAAACCCCACTCCCTTCTATGATTGATGATGTTACCTAGTTGGGTCATGAAACGTCTGCAGGAAAACCACCAAGCTCAGAGAGCACTAAAGACCCCATAGCCTCCCCTCTTCCTCCTCCTCCTCCTCCTCCTCCTCCTTCTCCCTCTCCTCCTCCTCCTCCTCCCACAAAGAGTACATTTAAGGCCCACGTTCCTGCCACCTAAGCAGGAAAAAAGGGCTCCAGCAATGCTTGTGATCCTGACTTGGACAGAGGGAGAGATGGGACAAAAACGTCAAGCAACTTTGCTTCCTCCTTCTTTGTTTTGATGGCTTCCATCCAAAGGTCCTGAAATATTAGGAGCTTGGCAGGACAACAGGTCTTGCGATTGGTTATGAAATCCAGAAAGAGACAAGCCTGAACAGGAACCCTCGAAATACAGGCAGCACCAAGACTGAGTCAACAAATCTTGAAGAAGCACAACAGTTGCGTTAAAGAAGCTCACAACGGAACAGAATTAGCCAGCTGACGGAGAATCGGCAAGAAAATCTGAGGTCTCCCATATTATGTTACTTCTCCTGCTATATAAACGTGTGTGTTTGTGTGTGTGAAGTAGAGAGAGAGAGGCGAGTGAGTCACACTCCTGGCAAGAAGAAGAACAGGTCTGCGCAATTTGCCAGTTAATCTTTCTGAAAGTGATTTGATCTTGCGTTCCTTGGGTCTTTTAGCATCAAACTAGGATTAGAATTCTAGTTTCACACTCCTAGACCAACACTTTACCGGCTTACATAGAGAATGGCTGATATACATTGTCCCAGTGTAAATGAAAACCTATCTACAGAGGAAGGTCTGGAGGCACAATAACAGAATGATAGAGCTGGAAGGGACCTTAGAGGTCTTCTAGTCCAACCCCCTGTGCATGGCAGGAGATCCTATACTATTCTGGATTTTCTTTGGGCTTGATGGGAGGGATACACACAGTGGTTCTCAACCTGTGGGTTGGGACCCCATTTGGGGTCGAACGACCATTTCACGGGGGTCGCCAAACAACGCAGTCCGCCATTTTTTCCCCCTTTTCCTTAGCTGTGCTACTCCCTTTTATTCTATTGGCTTTTGAAAGCCAATAGAATAGACTCTCTTGAATAGAGTCTCATTCTATTGGCTTTCAAAAGCCAATAGGAATTGTCCAGGCTGTTTCTGCCCTGCTGAACCGGCCAAAAGTCCCAGTCTGCAAACGGTACTGCACCAGTTGAGTAGTCCTCGACTTACGACCGGTTGAGTAGTCCTCGACTTATGACCGGTTGGGGGTTGCGGCATTAAAAAGGTTGAGAACCACTGTTATAGAAAGAATAACAGAACAGAACAACCGAGTTGGAAGGGACCTTGGAGGTCTTCTAGTCCAACCCCCTGCTCAAAGCAGGAGACCAAATAGAGATTGGGCGAATCTAGCTTAAAAACAATAACTGTGAGAGGGACATTTGAGTCCTGGTGGACGATCATTTGACTGTGAGGCAGCAGTGTGCAGCAGCAACCAAAAAAAGCTAATACAATCCTGGTTTGTATAAACAGAGGCATAGAATCAAGATCACGCAAAGTATTAGTACCACTTTATAAAACCCTAGTGTGGAAAGTCACCCCCCCAGAGAAAGAAATACTTTTGAAAATATTTAAAAAGCAGAATATATTTTCCTAAAGGATTTTAAAAGCAGAAACCAATCCCGCCCCCTAAGTTTCTCTGTCTGTAGAATTGCAGATGTGATAATCTTGTCAGAAAGACTGGAGTCAGGAAACTGAGATTAGGAAGAAAGATCCCTAGAATCAACACACCAAAAATCTAAGAGTCATCAGCCACAGTCCCAGGGAAGCAGGATTGACCTTTGGAACATAATAGGATTAACCCACCACCATCAGAATACCAGGAAGGCACACTCAGACTCAGGTCAAAGTTCATGCCACAGGAACAACTCCAAACAAAAGGCTCAAGGAGGTATAAAAACCCACTCCCTACATGTGCTCACTCTCTTTTCTTTCAGAGCCATCTTTCCGTCTGGCTCTCCTCTTTAATAAACTGCAATCTTCTTTCTAAAGCAGTCGCCATGTTGTTTATTCCCGGCTTGGACTGAACCACGATGAAGACTTTTCCTTCAACACTAGAGAGGCAACACCTGGAATACCTCAAACAATGTTGGTCACTGTACTACAAAAAAGATGTTGAGGCTTTGGAAAAAGTTCAGAGAAGAGCAACTAAGATGATCAAAGGAGACTGGAGACTAAAACATACAAAGAACGGCTGCAGGACTTGGCTTTGGCTAGTCTAAAGAAAAGAAGAAACAGGAGAGACATGATAGCAGTGTTCCAGTATCTGCCACAAAGAAGAAGAGGTCAAGTTATTCTCCAAAGCACCAGAGAGAAGGACGAGAAACAATGGTTGGAAACTGATCAAAGAGAGAAGCAACCTGGAATTAAGGAGAAACTTCTTAACAGTGAGGACAATTAACCAGCGGAACAGCTTGCCTCCAGAAATTGTGGGCGCTCCATCACTGGAGATTTTTAAGAAGAGACTAGACAGTCACTTGTCTGAAATGGTATAGGTTCTCCTGCTTGAGCAGAGGGTTGGACTACAAGACCTCCAAGGTCCCTTCCAGCTCTATTCTATTCTATTCTTCCTTGGTTTTTCCTTGAAGAGCTGAAGAAGGTCCACAGATGAGAAGCAAAATGTCTTCAAGGAAAAACGAAGAAAAAGCACCTTGGAGACACTCAACATAGGATGTCACTTTGCAGGATTGCTATAGAGAGGTCCTTCAGAAAGAAGGAAGACAAATTCAAGAAGAGACTGGACAACCATTGGACCAAGATGATATAAGGTCCCATTCTCCTGAGGCAGCACACTGGATGGATAATCAAAGGAAATGAATTTTGCTTTGCTTTTTTATTTTATCATTTGAAATAGTACTACCTCTTTATATTACTTTTGTAAGATCACATTTGAAACACCGCATACAGTTTTGGTCGCCACAATACAAAAAAAGATATTGAGACTCTACAAAGAGCGGAGGGAAGAGCAACAAAGACAATCAGGGGACGGGAGGCTAAAACATATAAAAAACGGTTGCAGGAATTGGGTATGTCTACTTTAATGAAAAGAAGGACGAGGGGTGACACGTAAGTATGGAGCTGCTCTTCGTAAAGAGATCTCTTGAGCCCTTAGATTCAAATCTACAGAGTAGCAGATAAGACCATTGTCAGGTCTGCCATCAGATCTGTCAGCTGCCCCAGAACTGGATGCTGTTGTTGGTTTTGCTCATCATTCAACCTTCTTTCCTAAGCAGCCAGCCTCCATTTTATTTACTCCCAGCTTGGAACCGGACCTGATTTTTCTTCTTACAGCTGTAACCACGTGGCTTCAGTAAAAGTATCCCTTTCACTACAAATGGAGTTGAGGTTCTTTCTTTCCTGAATATCCAAGCTGGGATAGGCCTGACAATCATATCAAATCAAACACTTGGACAATGAAATCAAGTATGGTAGCTGTCTAACTAGAAAGTTACAGAGCCCAGCTACTTGAGGTTCAGAAAGCTCCATCTAGGACAGATTGCTATTAGCCATTCATGCAAGGACTATTACATCCAGATGTTTCTCAAATGACACATGCTTCAGCCCTGAGGCGTCTGGGCTCAGATTTACACAACTACCAATTTGAATGCGTTTTTTTTTTAATACGAATGAGTGAATGACACAAGAGGAGCTCAAAACATCACAGTATTTATGCTTAAGGCCTACGCAATCTAGACTCTCAAATTGTGGAGAAGATACAAGGAGCAACTATCTGAAGTCCAACCATATGCAGTCAGGGGTTTGTGCCTATTTTTAATTTATATGGGGACTACGCAGATATAGGCCATCTGTTCCAAATCTGCAGAACATCCGTCTTAGTGAATGAGGTAGATGTATTTTGCTTTCTACAGCTGAATATGTTTCCTTGTTTGTTTACAGCCAATAGCCAACAAACAAGGCTTTGCAAATACAGATATTCCTCAACTTACAAACATAATTGAGGCTGTCAATTACAGTTATAAGTTTGCTTTCACAGCTAAGGTGGGACTAGAACTCACCATCTCCTGGTGATTGGCCCACCCAGCTGGCTTTCATGGCTAAGCTGAGACTAGAACTCATACTCTCCTGGTGATTGGCCCAAAGTCACCCAGCTGGCTTTCATGTCTAAAGTGGGTTTAGAACTCACCATCTCTTGCTGATTGGCCCAAAGTCACTTAGCAAGCTTTCATGACTAAGGGGAGACTAAAACTCACAGTCTCCTGGTGATTGGCCCAAAGTCAACCAATCGGCTCTCATGGCTAAGGGGAGACTAGAACTCATGGTCTCTTGGTGATTAGCCCAAAGTAACCAGGTTAGCTTTCATGCCTAAAACAAGATTAGAACTCACTGTTTCCTGGTGATTGGGCCAAATTCACCCGGCCAGCATTCATGCCTAAAGTGGGACTAGAATTCACCATCTCCCGGTGATTGGGCCAAAATCACCCAGTTGACTTCCATGCCTAAGGGAGGACTAGAACTCACCATCTCCCACTTTCTAGCTTGGAGCCTTGACCACTAGCTCAGGGCTAGGCAACCTATGCTCTTTTATGACTTGTGGACTTCCCCTCCCAGAATTCCTGAGCCAACCATGCTGAGGGGAAAGGGAGAGGTTTCCATGCTGAGCCATGCTGGCTCAGGAATTCTGGGAGTTGAAGTCCACAAGTCATGAAGGGGCCATAGTTCCCTCATGCTGGCTCAGGAATTCTGGGAGTTGAAGTCCACAAGTCATGAAGGGGCCATAGTTCCCTCATGCTGGCTCAGGAATTCTGGGAGTTGAAGTCCACAAGTCATAAAGCAGCCTAGGCCTAGGCTAGAGGTAGGCCACCTTGGCTCTTTTATGACTCGTGGACTTCAACTCCCAGAATTCCTGAGCCAGCCATGCTGAGGGGAAAGGGAGAGGTTTCCAAGCTGAGTCATGCCGGCTCAGGAATTCTGGGAGTTGAAGTCCATGAGTCATGAAGGGGCCAAGGTTGCCTAGCCCTGCACTAGTTCAAACTGGTTCTTTTTATTCAGCATCCCGAAAGGGGGGTAAAAAATTATGACTGCCCACTGTACCAAAGCTGCTCACCTTTCTTGACGTGCAAGATAATGGTCAACAAGACAACCAGAAGATGTCTCTTCATTCCTTTCCGAGCTTCATCCACCACCACGAAGCCACCAGGTTTCAAGGTCCCCTTTTGGTTTTGGTGCAGAAAAGCATTGGATCGCTACGGGAGCTTACGAAAGGCCTCTTTTCACACCCAAGGAACTGAGACAAAAGAGAAACCGTGTTGTTCAGCCAAGGAGATAAATAGGGAGGTGCCCATTTGAGTGTAGGAGACCACGTTAAAGCCTTTGCTTTGCAGGAAAGCTCCTTCAGATGTTGGAAGAATTTTAACGCGGGGAGGAATCGAGGGGAAAAAACTGTTGTGTGCATAACGCAAAGCTGCTTTTTTCCAAAAGACAATGGGACTTTCTTGGGGTTAGGCTAAAGCATATAAGGAATGGCTGCTGGAATTGGGTATGTCTAATTTAATGACGAGAAGGACGAGGGGGGACATGATAGCCGTGTTCCAGTATGTCAGGGGCTGCCCCAAAGAAGAGGGAGTCAAGCTATTCTCCAAAGCACCTGAAGGCATGACAAGAAGCCATGGATAGAAACTGATCAAGGAGAGAAGCAACCTAGAACTAAGGAGAAACTTCCTGACAGAACAATTAACCAGTGGAACAATCTGCCTCCATAAGTGGTGAATGCTCCAACACTGGAAGTTTTTAAGAAGAGACTGGTCAGCCATTTGTCCGAAATTGTATAGGAATTCCTGCTTGAGCAGGGGGTTGGACTAGATGACCTCCAACAATGATGTTCAGACTGGATTTGGCATTTTTGTCTACCTATCGAGTCCTTACCCAGGACCTGGGATAGGCATTATTATTATTACTATTATTATTGTGGATCATTGCACAGTCAGCCAGATGTTCAGACTGGATTTGGCATTTTGTCTACCTACCATCAAACGTGTGGATGTTTGATGGTATTACAGATATCGTTGCAGGATGGAAGCGATTCCTAGTCAGGCCACCTTTTGCAATTGATTAATAGCAAATTTGTCAATGCCAATGGTGTTCAAGTGGTGCTCCAGTTGTTTTGGGATTGCACCCAAGGAGCCTATGACTATTGGTACTACCCTTGCTTGCTTTTGCCACAGTCTTTCCATTTCTATTTGGAGGTCTTTGTATTTTGTTATCTTCTCCAGTTCTTTCTCATCTATTCTGCTGCCTCCAGGCACTGCCAGATCCACTATCCAGACATCATCATCAATAATAATAATACGAAGAAGAAGAAGAAGAGGAAGAAGAAGAAGAAGAAGAAGAAGGAGAAGGAGAAGGAGAGGAGGAGGAGGAGGAGGAGGAGGAGGAGAAGGAGGAGAAGAAGAAGAAGAAGAAGAAGAAGAAGAAGAAGAAGAAGAAGAAGAAGAAGAAGAAGAAGAAGAAGAAGAAGAAGAAGAAGAAGAAGAAGAAGAAGAAGAAGGAAGAAGAAGAAGAAGAAGAAGAAGAAGAAGAAGAAGAAGAAGAAGAAGAAGAAGAAGAAGAAGAAGAAGAAGAAGAAGAAGAAGAAGAAGAAGAAGTCCATTTGCCTTTTGAAAAACACTTTTGGGGAAAACCACAATCTGGATGACTGAGAATCTCCAAAGACAAATGGGTGAGATGGAAAAAGTGGTCCCACCCTATAGACCAGCCCGGTTCTTCTCCTCCACTTTGATTATATCCCCTTTTCCAGCTTGCACTTCACTGGACCACATGTTCAAAGAGGGACTTCAGAAATTTCAGGAGAACAGCTCATCCAACAGGAGGAAAATAGCACCATCTAACGTCCACCTTGGTATTTCCACCATTACCCTAATTGTTCTCTTGCCTTGAGTTATTGGATTAATAGAGCTCTAGGTTTTCCTACTCAGGCTTGTAGTTGTTCAACAGTTCTGACAATCTTTAAGGGATGAGGGGAGGACAAAGATCCCATCTTTCTCCCTTTTATCCTCAGAGGCTAAAACATACAAGGAACAGTTGCTGGAATTGGATATGTCTAGTTCAGTGAAGAGAAGGACGAGGGGGGGGGGCAGGATAGCAGTGTTCCAGTATCTCAGGGGCTGCCCCAAAGAAGAGGGAGTCAAGCTATTCTCCAAAGGACCTAAAGGCAGGACAAGAAGCAACGGAGGGAAACTAATCAAGGAGAGAAGCAACCTAGAACTAAGGAGAAATTTCCTGAAGTGTGAGAACAATTAATCAGTGGAACAACCTGCCTCCAGAAGTAGTGAATGCTCCAACACTGGAGGTTTTTAAGAAGAGATTGGACAACTATTTGTCTGAAATGGTATAGTGTTTCCTGCCTGAGCAGGGGGTTGGACTAAAAGACCTCCAAGATCCCTTCCAACTCTTTTCTTCGGTTATATGTGTTTCACTTTGAGAGCGGGCAACTAAATTTCATTTTTGATGTGTGCCGTTGTGCCCACAGTAAAAAAATGACAATAAAGCTTAGCTTAGCTTAGCTTAGTTTAGTTTAGCTTAGCTTATCTTAGCTTAGTTTAACTTAGTTTAGCTTAGCTTAGCTTAGCTTAATTTAGCTTAGTTTAGCTTAGCTTAGCTTAGCTTAGTTTAGCTTAGTTTTATCTTATCTCAGCTCAGTTCATCTCAGCTCAGCTTAACTCAGCTCAGCTCAGCTCAGCTTAGTTTAGCTTAGTTTAGCTTAGTTTATTCCTTCTGGAAATATGGCTATCCAATCTCTTTTAGACATCCTCCAGTGATGGACACCCACAACTCCTGAAGGCAAGTTATACCACTGATTAATTGTTCTCACTGTCAGGAAATTTCTCCTTAATTCTAGGTTGCTTCTCTTCCCGATTACTTTCCATCCATTGCTTCTTGTCCCAACGGCTTTAAACCTAACTTGGAGTTCCTTCTTTAAAGCACAAGAAGGACACTGAAGTACTGGGGAGAATGCCGAAGGGACAGGCAGGCCAAACCTTATGAAGAACAGTGAAAATTGGGTACATTAAGCATAAAGAAGAGTAGGTTAAGGGGAGACATGACAGCAATCTTCGAAAATTTGAAAGCTTGCCAAAGAGAAGAGGAACTGAGTTCATTCTCCACAGATAGGACAAGAAACAATGGATGGAAGCGTAATGAGAAGATATCCAAACTCAAACTACGGAGGAATTTCTGGAGCATGATTAGGAAATTAGGACATTGAATTAATAGTGGAACTGAATCAAGATCACGTGAAGTATTAATACCACTCTTCAATGCCTTGGTAAGGCCACACTTGGAATACGGCATCCAGTTTTGGTCACCACGATGTAAAAAAGATGTTGAGACTCTAAAAAGAGTGCAGAGAAGAGCAACAAAGATGATCAGGGGACTGAAGGCTAAAACATATAAGGAACAGTTGCTGGAATTGGGTATGTCTAGTTTAACAAAGAGAAGGATGAGGGGGGACATGATAGCAGTGTTCCAATATCTCAGGGGTGGCCACAAAGAAGAGGGAGTCAAGCTATTCTCCAAAGCATCTGAAGGCAGGACAAGAAACAACGGGTGGAAGCTAATCAAGGAGAGAAGCAACCTAGAACTAAGGAGAAACTTCCTGACAGTGAGAACAATTAATCAGTGGAACAGCCTGCCTCCAGAAGCAGTGAATGCTCCAACACTGGAAGTTTTTAAGAAGAGACTGGTCAGCCATTTGTCCGAAATGGTGTAGGGTTTCCTGCCTGAGCAGGGGGTTGGAGTAGATGACCTCCAAGGTCCCTTCCAACTTTACTACTATTACTAAATAACAGGGGAGATTTTTAAACCAAGGTTGGACAACCATGAATCTAGGATGGTTGGAAGATGCTTCCCTTGGGCAGGGGGTTGGTCTGGACAGGTCCCAACAGGCAATCAACCTACAATGTTCCAGTCCAATGTTTCTATGGTAAATTTAAAAGAAACCTGAAAACCGAGTTTTGTTAAGGTCAGCTTACTGTCAGCTTACTGTATTTTTTTATTTTGCTTTCTTGTTACCATTTGTTCTTTCAATCAATGGAACAATGGTTACATTGTTGACGCATTGATTTATAAATTTCGGCAGTCTGTGAAAATAACCGTGCAGTTATTTATTTATTATTTATTATTAAAATTTATAGACCGCCCCACACCCGCAGGACTCCGGGCGGCTAACAATAAAAACACATAAAACATAACAAAACAAACAGTACAAGAACGGTCATCCAGGGGTCAGGTTTTATAAACCCCAGGCCTGCCGGAAAAGCCAGGTCTTAAGCAGCTTACGGAAAACCAACAGGGTGGGAGCGGTCCTAATCTCCGGGGGGAGCTGGTTCCAAGACGTGGGCGCCATCACAGAGAAGACCCTCCTCCGCGGCCCTGCCAAATGGCACTGCTTGGCCAACAAGACCTGAAGGCGGCCCAGCCTGTGGGATCTAACCGGATGAAGGGAACTATGAGGTAGTATGCGGTCTCGCAAATAGCCTGGCCCTGAGCCATATAGGGCTTTAAAGGTAATGACCAACACCTTGAATTGGACCCGGAGACCAATAGGCAACCAGTGCAGCTCAGGGAGGATAGGTGTAACGTGGGTGTATCGAGGAGCACCCACTATCACTCGCGCGGCTGCATTCTGGACCAACTGTAGTCTCCAAATATTTCAAGGGTAGCCCCATGTAGAGCGCATTGCAGTAGTCCAGGCGTGAGGTGACAAGGGCATGAGTGACTGTAAGGAGATCCTCCCGGTCCAGGTAGGGTCGCAACTAGTGCAACAGTTAAGCATGTGTCTCAGCATTGCGATGTGGCTAAATCCATGGCCAGTTACCCTCAGCCCCAACTCCAGGGCGATGGTCCCTTACCTGCTCTTCAGCTGCACCTGTGCCTTGCTCAAATAGACCCCCTTAATATATTCTTGCCGTCACGCCAAGCCTTTATGACAGGTGTACAGCCTGCAAACTGCCATGGAAGAGGCTATTGTTGAACGCTTAGCATTCCGTTGGTGTCAGAAGTATCCAGAGTCTTCTGATTAGTGATCTTCCCAATCAAGGAACTATGGACTCCATCCAACTCAACGTATCTCCACCATGGCAACTTGAAGACACACGGACTTCAAGTGCCAGAATCCCCCAGTCAGCAAAGCTCTGGGCTTCTGGCCCGGGCACACAACCAAGACTTGTGAAAATTCGACAGAGCTGAGGTCATCCTGATCTCTGAAGGGAAAATATTCCAGAAGAGAGAGGCTACACCAGAGAACGTATTTATTTCCTGCCAGGCAACATTCCTTGGCTGAGGACCCATAAGATGTACCCCCTACTAGACCAGGGGTAGGCAACTAGACAACTAGACAAAACTAGATGGGAGAAATGACAGGAAGAAAACTATCCAGAAGATTCAGTATACTTTTATCACATGGGAAAATGTTCACCAATGGCTAGAAAAACGAGCTGGAGAGAAAGGAATGTGATATGTACTATGTAACATTAAATATGTAATACTAATAATAGTAGTAAAGTTGGAAGGGACCTTGGAGGTCATCTAGTCCAACCCCCTGCTCAGGCAGGAAACCCTACACCATTTCGGACAAATGGCTGTCCAGTGTCTTCTTAAAAACTTCCAGTGTTGGAGTATTTACTGCTTCTGGAGGCAGGCTGTTCCACTGATTAATTGTTCTCACTGTCAGGAAGTTTCTCCTTAGTTCTAGGTTGCTTCTCTCCTTGATTAGTTTCCACCCATTGCTTCTTGTCCTGCCTTCAGGTGCTTTGGAAAATAGCTTGATTCCCTCTTCTTTATGGCAGCCCCTGAGATATTGGAATACTGCTATCATGTCCCCCCTTTTCCTTCTCTTCGTTAAACTAGACATACCCAATTCCAGCAGCCGTTCCTTATATGCTTTAGCCTCCAGTCCCCTAATCATCTTTGTTGCTCTTCTCTGTACTCTTTCTAGAGTCTCAACATCTTTTTTACATCGTGGTGACCAATACTGGATGCAGTATTCCAAGTGTGGCCTTACCAAGGCATTGAAGAGTGGTATTAATACTTCACGTGATCTTGATTCTATCCCTCTGTTAATGCAGCCTAGCACTGTGTTGGCCTTTTTGGCAGCTGCAGCACACTGCTGGCTCATATTTAGGTGATTGTCTACTAGGACTCCGAGGTCCCTCTCACAGTTACTACTATTGAGCATGGTGCCACCTATGCTGTACTTGTGCATTTGGTTTTCCTTGCCTAAATGTAGAACCTTGCTTTTTTCACCATTGAATTTCATTTTGTTAGTTAGTGCCCATTGTTCAAGTCTGTCCAGATCCTTCTGTATCATAAGCTTGTCTTCTGGAGTGTTGGCTATTCCTGCCAGCTTGGTGTATTAGTATTAGTAAGAAGAAGACCACCAGGTGAAGTGAAGATGTGAGAAATATATCGTTAACTAATATATTGAGTATGAAAATATAGAAACTATGACTGATTGTTTTTTAAGCACATGGATCCAGACAACATGCTGTTTGCTAAATGTTAAAGAATGTTCTCTTCTAAAAATTAATAAAATATAATAAAAAAGCTACCCCATGGGTAACCTGGCCCATGAATGTCTTTAAAGGTGATAACCAGCATTTTGAATTGCACCTGGAAACATACTGGCAATCCATACAGCTCATGAGAAACTCAGGAGAGTCCGTTTGAGTGAGTGGTTAAGACACCAGGCTAGAAAGCAAGAGATGGTGAGTTATAGTCCCGCCTGGGGCATGGAGGCCAGCTGGGTGACTTTGGGCCAATCACCAGGAGACAGCGAATTCTAGTCCCAGCTTAGCCATAATAGTCATCTGGGTGACTTTGGGCCAATCACCAGGAGGCGGTGAGTTCTAGTCCCAGCTTAGCCATGAAAGCCACCTGGGTGTCTTTGGGCAAATCACCAGGAGATGGTGAGTTCTAGTCCCAGCTTAGCCATGAAAGCCAGCTTGGTGTCTTTTGGCCAATCATCAGGAGATGGTGAGTTCTAGTCCCAGCTTAGCCATAATAGTCATCTGGGTGTCTTTGGGCCAATCACCAGGAGATTGTGAGTTCTAGTCCCAGCTTAGCCATAATAGTCATCTGGGTGTCTTTGGGCCAATCACCAGGAGATTGTGAGTTCTAGTCCCAGCTTAGCCATGAAAGCCAGCTGGGTGACTTTGGGCCAATCACCAGGAGACAGTGAATTCTAGTCCTAGCTTAGCCATAATAGTCATCTGCGTGACTTTGGGCCAATCACCAGGAGACTGTGAGTTCTAGTCCCAGTTTAGCCATGAAAGCCAGCTGGGTGTCTTTGGGCCAATCACCAGGAGACAGCAAATTCTAGTCCTAGCTTAGCCATAATAGTTATCTGGGTGTCTTTGGGCGAATCACCAGGAGACAGTGAGTTCTAGTCCCAGCTTAGCCATGAAAGCCAGCTGGGTGTCTTTGGGCCAATCACCAGGAGATTGGGAGTTCTAGTCCCAGCTTAGCCATGAAAGCCAGCTGGGTGCTTTCCAAATGACAAAGTCCAGCTTTAGCCATGCTGGTGTCTTTGGGCCAATCACCAGAGAGATTGGGAGTTCTAGTCCCAGCTTAGCCATGAAAGCCAGCTGGGTGTCTTTGGACAAATCACCAGGAGACAGTGAGTTCTAGTCCCAGCTTAGCCATGAAAGCCAGCTGGGTGTCTTTGGGCGAATCACCAGGAGATTGGGAGTTCTAGTCCCAGTTTAGCCATGAAAGCCAACTGGGTGACTTTGGGCCAGTCACTCCCTCTCAGTCCAGCTCACCTCACAAGGTTGCTGTTGTGAGGATAACAGGAAGAAGGTGCTGGATATGTTCCCTACCTTGAATTATTTGTAAAAATAATAAAGGCGGGATACAAATCGATAAAATGCAGTAGTCCTCAAATTACGACCCGCAATTTTTCTCGCTAAGTGAAACATTTGCTCAGTGGGTTTCGCCCCATTTTACGACCTTTCTTGCCACAGTCGTCAAGTGATTCACTGCAGTGGTTCAGTTAGTAACAGGGTTGTTAACTGAATCTAGCTTCCCCGTTGTCTTTGCTTATCAGGTCGCAAAAGGGGGATCATGTGACCCCTGAGACACTGCGACCGTCATAAATATGAGTCAGTTGCCAAATGTCTGAATTTTGATCATGTGACTATGGGGATGATACGATGGTCACTAAGTGAGAAAACCAGTCACAAGTCACTTTTTTTCAGTGCTGTTGTAACTTTGACTGGTCCCTAAATGAACGACTGTAAAATAAAAATACAGTAGTAGCGTGACATGTGTCGAATATCTTTGCTAGCCACGCCACTGTACACTGCATAAGTTGAAACTTCTGAATGCTCTCCAAGGTCAGCCCCATGTAGAGTGTATTGCAGTAGTCTAGACCAGTGGTTCTTAACCTTTTTGAACGAATCACCCCCTTGAGCCAATGAGGAAGTTGTCATCGCCCCCCTCCTCCAACACAACCTCTCAATCACAACATAAGAAATAATTCTTCGATTTATGCAAACACTTTTTTTTTGTTTTCTTTAAAATTGTCATCAGGACGTATCGATGCAAATAATTTATTTCCAGTCTTTTCCCCATATCTCCCATATTCTGGCCAATGGCACGCGACTGTATGGGTAGAGGCTGCTGCGCAACGCCCATGAAGATAAGCGATGCGCCTTCACATATGTACGGCGTTCTGTACTGAAGCTAGCTGGAGGAACTTTTGAAAACACAATTCAATCCACTAAGAGCGAGCGATCTGATGTTTTTGTACGACAGATATACAGCGATTCACTGTACGAAAAAGGCTCAAAAGTGTCCCCAAAACGTCTCGCTTCATCGCCCCCATATCGCCCCCCTTTTCGTTCCTTCGCCCCCCTGAAAAATGAAATCGCCCCCGGGGGGCAATATTGTCCAGGTTAAGAACCACTGGTCTAGACAACCAGTCACAAGAGGATTGATGGCGAGGGAGCAAAGCTTTTCTATCCTCCACCATACCACATATATTGTCCCTCCACCCACGGGTCATACACACAAGCAGTCCATGAAGATCTTTCCCTTCCCCACCATCCAGTCAGAGCTGAAGAAGCTTCTTGGATGAGAAGCCAAATGTCTTCAAAGAAAAACAAGAAAGTCCAGTTGCCTCCCCCTTGGGACGTCCATCACTGGAGGTTCTCAAAAATAGACTGGATAAACATTTGACCAGCAGGGTGTAAGATCTCCTAGCTCAGCTGTTCTCAACCTGTGGGTCGCGACCCCATTTGGGGTCGCCAAACAACTGCAGTCTACCATTTTTTTTCCCCTTTTCCTTAGCTATGCTACTCCCTTTTATTCTCTTGGCTTTTGAAAGCCAATGGAATAGACTCTCTTGAATAGAGTCTAATTCTCTTGGCTTTCCAAAGCCAATAGGAATTGTCCAGGCTGTCTCTGCCCTGCTGAGCCCGCCAAAAGTCCCATTCTGCAAACGGTGCTGCAAGTTGTCTGCAGCGAAGGTGAGCTGTCTGGAAGTTTCCACCCCTCCCTGCTGAGCAACTACTAAAAATGTAAGTAAAAGAGGGCCAGGGGTGGGAGGTGGGAGGCCGGTGGGCGCAGGGAGGGTTGCTGGCACGCGTGGGGCCCGGCGGGTGCCTTACTTCCCTTGGGCTGGGCCAGCTGGTGACCCAGCCGGTGGTCACCCTGTGCCATCTCTTCCGCTTGCTAGCTACGCCTCGGCCTGCGCAGGGGGCGGTACCATGCATGCGCGGCGCTCCCGGGCAGGGAAAGTCCTCAACTTACGACCGGTTGGGTAGTCCTCAACTTATGACCAGTTGGGGGTCACGGTTTTAAAAAGGTTAAGAACCACTGTCCTAGCTTGAGCAAGGGGTTGGACAAGAAGACCACCAAGGTCCGTTCCAGCCCTATGGTCCTATGTAACTGTGTCTCATTTGATTTTTGACGGGGCTGAACCGGGAACAGGCCCTCCGATAAAAAAAAAAATCGAATAAACAGCACCCTAAATAAAATACGGTCCTGAAAAATCATAATGGGACACGGCGAGGAAAGGAAGGAGAAACGAGAAAGGGAATGGTTATGAATCAAAATGTTTATTCCATTCAAAAAGCCCACGGCGCCGCCCCACAATCGTGCTTAGTGTAAAATGTAATATATTTTAACGAGTTCACAGAGTGAATGTAACAGACGAAGCGCATTTGCAAAACAGACCTTCATCCAAAGCTGCATCTTCTCACCCAAGCAAAAACATTTTAAGGCCTCTGTAATGATTTCAAACTTTGCCACAGAGTAGTATTTGAGCAGTATTTCTAGATCTCATTGATGTTAAGATGTGTGGACTTCAAGTCCCAGAATTCCCCAGCCAGCGTAGCTCCATGGAGGAATTCTGGGAGTTGAAGTCCACATAGCTTAAAAAAGTTGACTTGAGAAGTTGTGGCCCAAAAGCTTCTCTCTCTCTCTCTTTTTTTTTTTTTTTTTTGGCTATGCTTCCATCTCCTGACAACACCAAGCAATGCTAGAAAACACCCCATACCCCAAAAGAAAGAAAAGAATCACCATAAATCTAGTAAAATCTCAGATTAAAAAAAAGAACAGTCGAATGGCATTCTCAAGAAACAATTTCTGGACCACGTTCGGCCACTCGATGCCGCCGGAGGAGATGCATCTCCATCACAGCCTGGGTCCAAAGAGATAGAACAAACTGGCAAGGGTAGCCAAGGCCAACAGCAGGTGGTTGATATGGATGCTGTTGGCCCCGCTGATATTGCACAAGAACGAGGAACAGCAGTGGATCGACATGGCCGCGATGCCAATATTGACCCCGACTTCGGGGCAAACCGGCACACAGCCCTTGCTGATTGACTGTGAAGAATATCCACCTGGCCGGAAGAGAAACAAAAATAAATAAATAGGATGTTTATGAAAGAGCAGAAGACATTTGTGGACTTTCTGAGAGTTAAATACAACAATAGGTTTTTAACAGAGAGCTTTCAGGTTTAGCCTCGTGGTCAGTGATGGGATTCAGCCGGTTCACAACAGTTCGGCAGAACCGGTAGCTAATTTTTGTTGAGTTCGGAGAACCGGCTGAATGCACACTGCTTTCCGGAAGTCTGCTTGAGGTCTAGGAGGCCTCCTCTAGGCCTCCCAGGCCTAGAACAGCCCGCCGGAAGTGCGGGGATGCCACTTCCGGAAGTCCGTTCTAGGCCTCAGACGCCCAGGCCTGCATCCACCCAGAGAACCAGTTGTTCAGGGATTTGAATCCCACCACTGCTCATGGTTGGAACTAATACAGTGGTTCTCAACCTGTGGGTTGGGACCCCATTTGGGGTCGAACGACCATTTCACGGGGGTCGCCAAACAACGCAGTCTGCCATTTTTTTCCCCTTTTCCTTAGCTGTGCTACTCCCTTTTATTCTATTGGCTTTTGAAAGCCAATAGAATAGACTCTCTTGAAGAGAGTCTACTTCTATTGGCTTTCAAAAGCCAATAGGAATTGTCCAGGCTGTCTCTGCCCTGCTGAGCCCGCCAAAAGCCCCAGTCTGCAAACGGTGCTGCACCAGTTGAGTAGTCCTCGACTTACGACCGGTTGAGTAGTCCTCGACTTACGACTTTTGGGGGTCGCGGCATTAAAAAGGTTGAGAACCACTGAACTAATAAGTAGCCCTCAACATGCAGTCCCAATTGAGCCGAAAAGTTCTGTCGGCTTAAGCAAGACAGCAGTTAAAGGGGGTTTTGCCCCATTCTATGACCGTTCTTAGAAGAGTTGTTAAGCGAATGACTCCAGTTCTTACGTTAGTAACATAGTGGTTAAGTGAATCGGGCTTCCTCATTGACTTTGCTTTCCAGAAAGTCACAAAAGGGGATTGCGTGACCCCCCCCAGGACACTGCAACCGTCATTATTTTTTTATTTATGAGACTTATATACCGCTTTAAGTGCAAGCACTCTCTAAGCGGTGTACACCAGTAAGCAATGTATATATATATTTACATTGCCCCCAACAATCTGGGTCCTCATTTTACCTACCTCGGAAGGATGGAAGGCTGAGTCAACCTTGAGCCGGTGAGATTTGAACCGCTGACCTGCTGAACACAGTCAGCTAAAGTGGCCTGCAGTACTGCACTCTAACTGCTGTGCCACCTCGGCTCTTGGTCATAAACATGAGCCAGTGGCCAAGCGTCTGAATTTTGATCTTGTCAGTTTTCTCCCATTTTACGACCTTTCTCACCACAGTGGTTAAGTGAATCTGGCTTCCCCATAGACTTTGCTCGTCAGAAGGTGGCAAAAAAGGAACCAGGTGACCATGGAACGTGTGTATTTACACTGAGGAGAGCAAAAATATTTGGGGGGGAAAAAAATACAGCGTCCCTCAGTTGCAGGTATGATCTAACAGAGCAGGGGTTGGTGGCCTGGCGTGAGAGGAAGAAAGAGAGGATTGTTTTGTGTGAAGGGCAGGTGCACGTGCACTTCGTTGGTGTGAGCAGTGGACGCGCGCAAGTGGGTCTGCGAGCACCAGTGCCCATCACAAATGCAAGCGTGGCTGCGAGGGACAGCACCCAGTGCTCGCATGAATAGGGCTGCGCGTGCACGTGGACACACCAGCCCACCACTCACATGGCCTGGTTGCAAATAGGCCATGGCCCAGCAGTGGGCCATAGCACACAGGCTGGGGAATCCCGATCTACCAGGCCAACCTCTGGAGGAAGTGATATGGTCCTCCTGCCATTTCACCAGGCCAAAGTGAACGTACCAATCCCAGCACCGGTATACGTGGTGGCGCAGTAGTTGTCCTCATCGGAACAGACCTGCATCCTCCAGCAGCCCCAGTTCGATTCGACCCCGTCGCACGACCAGCAGACCAGTGAGTAAACTGGAAGAAAAGATTTCAGAAAGGTGAGATGTGCAGTTTATTTATTTTAACTTGCTTTATTTTTATCCCGTCTTTATTATATTTATAAGTAACTCAAGGTGGTGAACATTGCTAATACTCCTTCCTTCTCCTATTTTCCTTATAAACACCCTGTGAGGTAGGCTGGGCAGAGAGAGAGATGGACTGGCCCAAAGTCATCCACGTTGCTTTAATAGCTAAGGTAGGATAAGAACTCACAGCCACCTGGTGTTTGGCCCAAAGTCACCCAGCTGGCTTAAGGCAGGACTAGAACTCACCACCTCCTAGGACAGTGGTTCTCAACCTTTTTATACAGTGACCCCGGTAATAAGCAGGCGGCGCGCATGTGCGGCGGCGCCCCCTGCGCGGCACACATGTGCGACGGCGCCCCCTGCGCGATGCGCATGCACGACGACGCCCCCTGCACGGTGCGCATGCGCAGCGCCACCCCCGTGCGCCGCCCCCCGTGCGCCGCCCCCTGCGCAGCGCGCATCCACGGCGCGACGCCGCCCCAATGCGCCACCCCAGAAAAAAATGGCGGATCGTGTTGTTTGGCGACCCTCGTGAAATGGTTGTTCGACCCCAAATGGGGTCGCGACCCACATGTTGAGAACCGCTGTCCTAGGAATTGGCCCAGAATCACCCAGCCAGTTGTCATGAATAAGACGGGACTAGAACTCACCACCTCGTGGTGATTGGTCTAGGACCCAACTAGCTTTCATGTTTAAGGTGGGCCAAGAACTCACTGTCTCCTCTAAAAACCAATTGGCTTTCATTTCAGGCATGAAAACCAGCCAGAGGTCTTTGGGCCAGCCAAATTATAAGTGAGTTATTTATTAAAAAAATAATTAAAAGATTTTAAAACAACAAAAAACCAAATCTTTAATACAGATTCCTTCCCCACTTTTCGGTGCATAACTCCATCCATCTGGACTTGCAACCACTGAATTAATAGACAGATAGAACCAAGATCACGTGGAAGTATAAGTACCGCTTGACAAAGCCTTGGTAAGACCACACTTGGAACACTGCATCCAGTTCTAGTCACCACAATATAAAAAAGATGTTGAGAATCTTGAAAGAGTACAGAGAAAAGCAACAAAGATGATTAGGGGACTGGAGGTTAAAAACTTGGGAAATACAGATGCTGGAATTGGGTATGTCTAGTCCAGTGGTTCTCAACCTTTTTAATGCCATGACCCCCCAACCGGTCGTAAGTCGAGGACTACTCAACCAGTCATAAGTCAAGACTACTCAACTGGTGCAGCACCGTTTGCAGAATGGGACTTTTGGCGGGCTCAGCAGGGCAGAGACAGCCTGGACAATTCCTATTGGCTTTTGAAAGCCAATAGAATGAGACTCTATTCAAGAGAGTCTATTCTATTGGCTTTCAAAAGCCAATAGAATAAAAGGGAGTAGCACAGCTAAGGAAAAGGGGGGAAAAAATGGCGGACTGCGTTGTTTGGCGACCCCCGTGAAATGGTCGTTCGACCCCAAATGGGGTCCCGACCCACAGGTTGAGAACCACTGGTCTAGTCTAATGAAGAGAAGGACGAGGGGGGACATGATAGCAGCCTTCTAGTATCTCAGGGGCTGCCCCAAAGAAGAGGGAGTCAAGCTATTCTCTAAAGCGCCTGAAGGGAAGACAAGAAGCAACGGATGGAAAGTGATCAAGGAGAGAAGCAACCTAGAACTAAGGAGAAATTTCCTAATAGTGAGAACAATCAACCAGTGGAACAGAAGTTGCCTTCAGAAGTTGTGGGTGCTCCATTACTGGAGGCTTTCAAAAAGAGACTGGACAGCCACTTGTCTGAAAGGGGTATATAGGGTCTCCTGCTCCAGCAGGGGGTTGGACTAGAAGACCTCCAAGGTCCCTTCCAACTCTCGTTATTCTGTGTTCCATGTTCCACAGCCGTTCTTCGTACGTATTGGTCTCCAGACCTCTGATCATTTACTTTACATGACTTTACATCTACACAAGTACTTTAAAACTTTCACAATAACATCCCACTCAAAGGTAAAAAGATAGAAGAGATTCATACAACATCCCTGCAAAGCTAGAGATTGCCACCTACTGGCCATCAGCTCACACTGCAGGAGATATTGCCCCCTGCTGGCTATCAGCTCACACTGCAGGCCTTCATAAAATCGCAATAAAGAATCCAATTTTTTTTTTACTGTATTTCTCCTTTTATAGAATCAGGGAATGGATGTCAAGTAATTAGATAGTAGCCTATTAAACTGCAGTCTAAAAATTGTACTTAATCTTTGACGCTTTAAAAATTATGATTACTGAAGCTTTGAAAATTATACTTAATCACCGCGGCTGAATTACCATTATATTCATTTTGTCACTCAAAACTCAAAATGGTTGTCCCGTCTCTTTTTGAAAAACGCAACGGAGTGCAGGTGAACAGCTGAATATTCCAAGCAAAGTCCTGAGTCAACATTGTTAAAAAGAGTTGAACTCAAGTTTTATTTGTAGCTTCGGACTCTGGAACTCAGGGACCAGTCATAAGTAGCTTTTAGAGCAGTGGTTCTCAACCTGTGGGTCGGGACCCCATTTGGGGTCGAACGACCATTGCACGGGGGTCGCCAAACAACGCAGTCCGCCATTTTTTCCCCCCTTTTCCTTAGCTGTGCTACTCCCTTTTATTCTATTGGCTTTGGAAAGCCAATAGAATAGACTCTCTTGAATAGGAGTTGTCCAGGCTGTCTCTGCCCTGCTGAGCCCACCAAAAGTCCCAGTCTGCAAACGGTGCTGCACCAGTTGAGTAGTCCTCGACTTACGACCGGTTGGGAGTCGCGGCATTAAAAAGGTTGAGAACCACTGTTTTAGAGGGTCATTTGTAACTCTGAATGGCGGCTAAATGACCCGGTCATTAATTGAGGACTACTTGTAATTCAAAGGAGGTGTTCACATTATATTTATAATCTGGATTCCCCATTGGGTAAAGACGGAGAAATTTCTCTCTAGAGTGGAAATCACGTAAACACTCATACATGGGGTCATGACATCACATCACATCTGGATCTCCCTCTAATTTGAGACTTAACATGGCTTAAGTCCAAAGCCACGGAAGAAACAAGACAGTGGAAAGGATAAGATATCAGATCAACCCCACACCAAAGGATTTTAATTCAAGATTCCTGAGAGCATCAATTAAATCATTATTGCAGTCCAGGCAGTCCTCGGCTTACAACTGTTCATTTAGTGCAGTGGTTCTCAACCTTTTTAATGCCGCGACCCTCAACCGGTCGTAAGTCGAGGACTACTCAACCGGTCGTAAGTCGAGGACTACTCAACTGGTGCAGCACTGTTTGCAGAATGGGACTTTTGGCGGGCTCAGCAGGGCAGAGACAGCCTGGACAATTCCTATTGGCTTTTGAAAGCCAATAGAATTAGACTCTATTCAAGAGAGTCTATTCTATTGGCTTTCAAAAGCCAAGAGAATAAAAGGGAGTAGCACAGCTAAGGAAAAGGGGGGAAAAAATGGCGGACTGCGTTGTTTGGCGACCCCCGTGAAATGGTCGTTCGACCCCAAATGGGGTCCCGACCCACAGGTTGAGAACCACTGATTTAGTGACTGTTCAAAATTACAACGGCACGGGAAAATGTTAACTTACGATGGTTTTTCACAGTTACGACTGTCGTGGAAAAACCCAATGAAAAAGACAAGAGACAGCAGCACAAAACAACAATTCTTACTTTTAAGATTCAGAGGTTTGTTTTGGTAATCATTTGGAACGCAGCAAGCATAATAACACAACAACACTGACATTAACAACCCATTGCAATGAGGTCCACTGGCATAGCAAATTCCAAAGGACAGCTATAGGCCAAGGGCAAATCAATCAGGTCCAGACCCAACTCTTTATACCCTTTTCCGTTCTAAGACTGTAGTCAGATGGTCTGCTGACTTCTGCTGACTTTCTGCTGAACATAACTTTCCACATATAGCCCTGTACACTGGAACCTGCATCCTTCAGCTACTTTCATTTCCCTAATTCTTACTGTTCCAGTCCTTTCAGTTCCCTATTTCTTACTGTTCCAATCTTTTCACTTCCCTCCTCTTCTTATTGTTCCAGTCCTTATGTTCTAAATATATTTGAAACAAGCACGCTTAGCAAAATCATATTAAGTAAAGTACAGTTGCAAACTGCAAAATTAAGCATAGCCCAGACTTTGGTTCAATGCTTTGTCCACAAGGCCTGATATCTCAGGGGATGCCATAAAGAAGAGGGAGTCAAGCTATTCTCCAAAGCGCATGAAGGCAGGAGAAGAAGCAACGGGTGGAAACTAATCAAGGAGAGAAGCAACCTAGAACTAAGGAGAAACTTCCTGACAGTGAGAACAATTAATCAGTGGAACAGCCTGCCTCCAGAAGCAGTAAATGCTCCAACACTGGAAGGAAGAGACTGGACAGCCATTTGTCCGAAATGGTGTAGGGTTTCCTGCCTGAGCAGGGGGTTGGACTAGATGACCTCCAAGGTCCCTTCCAACTTTACTACTATTATTATTACTATAGTTCACCTGGGCCTAAAATCTGCATAAAAGAATAGCCAATATTTTCGTTTTTCCACACGACCTTTGCAAGTATCCCCATGATCGTGTCATTAAAATTCAGATGCTTCGCAACTGGTTCATATTTAGGACCGTTACCAAGTATCTGAATTTGGTCACAATTATTTAAACTAGATTTGTGTATCAATCACTGAACGACGTCTGTAGATGCCATACGCTAAATACAAACTTAATTTAATCAACTCCTTCTACCGAGGTCAGCATATACACGTGCCCATCAAACGTCGCTCTAAAATCAGCATGTATACATTTCCTCACCCCTTAAGACCCCACACCAATTAAGCTACTGTACTTTATAAAAGAGCCTATTTGTGCCTCATTTTTCCTGTAGCTACCTCCACATGCAAACCTTAGGAATAAATAAAATTCTCCTTTCCTCACCAATGTCTGGATTTCA